AACAAGCTGTACTCTGCCCGTGTGGCTCCTCCCTGGATGAAGTGCTTTGTAACTTGGCTTGTCGGTGTGCATTGCCCTGTTCTTGCCTGAATACCACCTGAGCTATGCTTTCCTCTTGGCTGGCAAGTGGAGACTGTACCAGGAAAGCCTGGGATGTTCAGAAGGTTGGGCTGGTCTATTAGGGCAACTAGACCCACACCAGTCGCTTTCACCTGTCAGGCCTCTTCCAAAGAGCCCTCATGAGTCAGCAACACAGCAGCAAGGCAGACAAACATCCCCTGGTGCCCTATACTGCTCAGCCATAGTGCAGCAGGGTGGAGATGAGGGTGCAGGCGGGGGAGAAGGCAGCCTTGAGATGCTGAGTCACCTGGGACCAGATGCCATGGTTTGAGGAACCTGTGTTGAGAAAGCAGCAGCTCTTCGCCATGGAACAGAAACCACTTGGAGGCCACCTGGCTGGCTGGTATGAGGGAGGTGGCATCCAGAAGACCTCAGAGGTGGGTTTATAAGCCAGGCCTCCAGCCACCAGTCCCACCAGCCCCAGAAGAGTCAGCTGCCACCTGCAAGGTCCAAAAGCTTTGGGGATGTGGGAGTGGCACTCTGGGATGCCCCTTACAGCACACAGAATGAATCTTCGTATCCCCCCAAAATTCCTATGTTGAAATCTAACTCCCAATGTGATGGTATTTAGGGGTAGTGCCTTGGAGAGGTGATTAGGTCAGGAGGATGGAACCCTTGTGAATGGGATTAGTACCCTTTTCAAACCCCAGAGACAGCCCCATCCTTTCCACACCAGGTGAGAACACAGCAAGAAGATGGCTATGAACCAGAAAGCGGGCCCTTGGCAGACACTGAACTCCTGCCTCCAGCACTGTGAGGAGTAAAGGTTTGTTGTTTAAACTACCCAGTTTATGGTATTTTTGTTATAGCAGCCTGAAGTGACTAAGACACCCCTCCCTGAAAAAATGTGACATGCACACCCTCATATTCCAAGTTCCCATGACTCACATGGGACATAAACATGTCCCTTCCTCTCTGCAGTCCCCATGTTACACTGTGGAACACATGGGCTTGGACATCTACGTCCTTCCCACCCAGTGGCCCAGTGGAAATATACATCTTCCCCTTAATCAGGGAGGCATTTAGCCGCTTACTCCTAACATTCTGTCCCAGAGGGCAGGGCAATAACACTGCTGCTTTCAGGGAATTCAGAACCTGGAAAAGGCCCGGTGCTGTGGATCACACCTGTAATCCCAGCTCTCTGAGAGGCCAAGGCAGGCACATCATTTGAGGTCAGGAGCTGGAGACCAGCCTGGCTGACATGGTGAAACCCAGTCTCTTCTAAAAATACAAAAATTAGCCAGGTGTGGTGGCGGACACTGGTAATCCTGGCTACTTGGAAGGCTGAGGCAGGAGAATTGCTTGAACCCAGGAGGCGAAGGTTGCAGTGAGTCAAGATCGTGCCACTGCACTCCAGCCTGGGTGACAGAGCAAGACTCTGTCTCAAAAAAAAAAAAAAAACAGAACCTGGAGAAGATCCAAGAGGTGAAATAAATGGGAACTGGGTCACAGTCCACAGTCTCCAGTCCACTCTGGTTTCTCAAGAGTATGAGGGACCATGTGCAGCCGCAGAGTCGGGGGAGGAGCCTGACCTCAACTGACTGACTCCTCTGAGCATGGTAGGGCTCTGTTCACGCAACCCATGCCCCTCCACTCCTCAACTTTCCTGCAGGCTCCAGGTAGCCTTGGGTGTCTGGGGCCCAAAGCCTGTCCAGCACATGGGCTTGGCCCTGGTCCCATGGCTCCAGCTCACACACCCCCCGACATCAGGACCCATGACTGGGGAGTCTGAAGCTCGTCGCTTCACACAGCCTCTCGAGCTCACTGTGACCTCATCAGCCTGGGTGCCCTGAGGGCTCTGGGTGCTCCATTCTGAGCCTCAGCTCATACCTTCCCCATCCAGATGGCCTCCCTGAGTCTTAGCCCTCTCAGTTCTTTACAGCCCACCATTCTGATAGCCCCATCCCCGCTATGACTTAACCTGGTCACCCTCCTCCGGGGGACATTCTCCCTGGTGCTTTCTCCCACTCACCGTGTGTAGGGTCCTCCTCGACACTCCACCTACGCTACAGCCCACATCCAGGCACCAGTCCCCTCAAAACTTCTTATAAGCTCCTTAGTACAGGCTGGAGTCCAGTTCCTCCTCACACCACTCACCACCCAGAATCCAGGAACCATCTGTAGAATACACTTATTCAACACATGGGACCACCTCAGGGCCCAGATATAAATAAACAGATCAAGCGAACAACTTCATATTCACATAGCCACTGGTTCCTCAGACTTGGGAGCAACAGAGGTCAGGGTGGCCAAACTGGGTGCAGACACGGATCAAACACACAGGGTTGCAGAAAAGCACAACTCAAGGCAAGCTCCCCTCCTTCATTAGCTGATAGGACACATAATAGAACTTCTGTTCGCTATCTCAAGAGAGTCCAGCTGCACACGGTCTCTGTAAAAACGCCAGAAGAATGCTCATGCACATGCCATTAATGACCCCCCCCCCAGAGGACTTGGCCTGGGGCTCATCACATCTGCGGGTGTACAGGCTGAGCTCATTTCTGAGTCACAAAACCCAAAAGTGATGTTTTTGGTCAGCAACCACCCGGAGAGACTCCCACACTCTGGCACTCTGCCACTGTTATGCCCTTGTCCCTGGCTGAATAGCTGATTCTCCATGGGCCCCCGGCTGGTACGCCTCACTGGGCAGGTGAAGTCACTGTGGTCTTCTTTTTCATTTTCTTTTTTTGAGACAGGGTCTCTCTCTGTCACCCAGGCTGGAGTGCAGTGGTACAATCTCACCTCACCAAAACCTGCACCTCCTGGGTTCAAGCAATTCTTGTACCTCAGCCTCCTAAGTAGCTGGGATTATAGGAATGTGCCACCATGCCTGGCTAACTTTTGTATTTTCAGTAGAGATGGGGTTTCACTATGTTAGCCAAGCTGGTCTTGAACTCCTGACCTCAAGTGATTCACCCGCCTCGGCCTCCTAAAGTGCTGGGATTACAGGCATGAGCCACTGTGCCCGGCCTCTTCTGAAGACTGTGAGGACCCCAGGGCCAGGCATTTTACACATACACCACAGAACACGAGCCTCATGTTTTAGGAAGTGGGTCGGGGGGGAAGCAGTGGTGTCTCTTCTGTTTCCAAACAAGAACAGCCTGTCACCACCGGGCAGAGAAGCAATGCAGGCTGCTTCTGCCAGGAGAAAGGCCGGCAGGAGCGATGTGGAGATGCTGCCAGAGCCCAGAGCCTGCACAGGCTGCTCAGGAAGCTTGCTCCAAGAACTGAGCATCCAAGCAGGAGACAGAACTACAGGCGCTTGGGCCCATGGGGGGCTCTGATGGGGACGTTCTGCACAGGCTTTGCCTGGAGACATCAAGGGGTCCCAGGACACAACAGCAGGCACAGAGGAGCGTCAGAGGGCAGATTTTCTACAGGATTCCAATTATTTGGAAAGATGCTTCTACCTGAAGCTCTAGACCCAAGTCCAGGCTGAAGCTATCAGAGCAGCTTTTCTTCCCTCAACGCAATCCCCCACCTCGAGAAAAGTGTCTCAGCCTAGGTGTGCGCACGCAAAGGTGTGGCATTTGCATTTACTCAACAAAGCCCAACCCAGCTTCTCTCTCATCTTTGTCAAACTGATCCAGAACAGGGGCTCTGTGGTCTGGCCTGACCACATCAGGCCTTCTGACTGCTACAGATGGCTTGTTAATAAGGCCTTCCTACATGTGTATGACATGGCAGCATTCCTTCCGTCTCTGATCCTGCCATCTCACCTGAAGGAGGAGGCAGATGGGGCTGCCCTTGCTCACAAGCACAGCAGGTAGGCTCACGGATGAGCCACAGAGCCGGTGAGCATCCCAGCTGGGCTAGAACCTGGATCTGCAATAGGCTCTGTCTGCTCTGAGTCCTGCCTTTCCATGAAGATGCTGGGTCAGGTAAAGGGTGGTGCTTTGGGTCCTGTCCCCAACCCACTCTGGTGCACCCCCCCCCCCCCACCGAGAGCCACCCTCTCTGACAGGCCCGAGATCTTCCCACCCCTGTGGCAGCAGTGCCTGAGCTGCTGGCTCCTGAGCTGGGTAGGGCAGATCTTGACTCAAACCCAGCCCTACCACTGCCCAGCTGGGTGACCTTAACACATTACATAATCTCTCTGGGCCCCAGGTTTCTCGTCAATAAAAGTGGACTCGGGAGGTCAGCCAGCACACCCCAAGTCCCTGTGAGGGGCTAGGCACCATGTTTTATAGCACCCAGGACAGTGCCCACTCAGAGCATGTGGGGTCCTGGATCCTAACATCCCTGCTGGGCCAGGAGCTTTGAAACCACCAGGCCCTGACCTTGGCTGAGCACTGAGTCTCCAGGCTTCCAATAACTGTGGAAGTGAGAAAGCAACAGAAAATGAGAGGATCACACTAAGGTACGAGTTACTACATCCAGAGCAAGCCCCTGGGCTGGGAGGCTGGAGAGACGACCCGGCAGGGCCTGAGGGATGAGCTGCCTTGGGGCAGACTGAGGGCACCCAAAGGAACAGGCAGGCAAGACAGGGCCAGAGAAACTATGGAGTGGAGCAGCATCAAGAAAGAGAACAGGAAGACCCCAAAGACTTCCTCTCTTGCCTGAGACATGCCACCCCACAACACCTGCAGCTCCAAACAGAGATTCTCCCACTGAAAACAGGACATAAAGCTTGGGCGTGGGCACGGGTGGAGACATAACTCACAGCCCCATTTGCTCCATGAGCCTGGCCAGATGGTGCCCAAGTATCCAGGGAAGGATGAACTTCACATTCCTGCAGGATTCCATGCCTGCTCCACACAAGCAGGGGGCTGGAGGAGGGGCAGCCTAGGTGGCAGGCAGCGCACAGCCTGCTCAGGCAAGCCCCAAGTCCATGGGCCTCTCAACACCACGGCTCCATCCAGCACAGGCTATTTGCCCACTTTTATTTTATTTTTAGAGATGGGTCTTGCTCTGTTGGCTAGGCTGGAGTGTAGTGGCATGAACATAGCTCACTGCAGCTTCAGACTCCTGAGCTCAAGCGATCTTCCCGCCTCAGCCTCCTGAATAGCTGGGACTACATGTGTGTACCAGCACGTCCAGCCAATTTATTTTTTGTACAGGCAGGGTCTCACTAGGTTGCCCAGGCTGGTCTCAAACTCCTGGCCTCGAGTGATCTTCCCACCTTGGCTTCTTAAAGCACTGGGATTACGGGCAACCACTGTGCCCTCGTCCAATTTCAGAAAGGTCCCCGGGGTCGCTATGCAGCAGCAGAGGAGGGGAATTGTCCCAAAAACAAAATCCCTCCTTTTCCACTAAGAAAAAAGGGCAGCTTCCATTTCCTGAGCATCTACCACATGCCAAACTATCACTGCTAATCCCAACACAGCACTAAAAGGTTTCTGCAATAACTCTCATTTGACGGAGGGGGAAAAAAGACACAGAAAGGAACCATAACTGGCCTGCTGCGCATTGAGGGTGACTCCAGCCAATCAGATAGTCCAGGATGCTGTACTCTCTACTCCACCTGCGGCCACAGGGACACATTCCCAAAGGAAAGCTATGTGTCCAAAACAACTGCCTGGGATGGGAGTTCTAGGAAATGACAGCTGGATGTGCGGCTGGGAGGCAGGCTGGTGGAAAGGAAGGCCTGGCATGCAGGACAGGCAGGAGGGAGGCAATTTTTGGGATATTCCGGACATTTCTGAAGATCTTTATGCACCAATGGCCTGAAGCCTTTCTCTCCCTGGAAATGTAGGCAGGCCCTTTAGTGAACATGCAGATGGCTGTGCCTATCCTGCAAAGACCATTGAGTCAAAGACAATGGAAGTTGATAGAAGGGCCTGAAGCAAAGCAAGCAAGGAGCAAACCCTGGGACACTGTTGAACAAACCAGCAGGAGGCAGAGACAGGTGCTTTGCCTGGGGAAAAAACCACCAGGGCCAGGTGAGTTGCACATGCCTCTAATCCCAGCACTTTGGGAGGCCAAGGTGGGTGAATCATGAGGTCAAGAGATTGAGACCATCCTGGCCAACATGATGAAACTCCATCTCCACTAAAATACAAAAATTAGCCAGGTGTGGTGGCATGCGCCTGTAATCCCAGCTACTTGGGAGGCTGAGGCAGGAGAATAGCTTGAACCGGAAGGTGGAGGTTGCAGTGAGCCGAGATTGTGCCACTGCACTCCAGCCTGGTGACAGAGCGAGACCCCATCTCAAAGAAAAAAAAAAACCACCAGGAAGGCCCAGCAGGCAGGCCTGCATCCACAGTGAGTGCATGAGCTTAGTGCTGCTGGGGTGGGGGGTCTTGGGAGGGGCCACAGCAAAGTTACCAGGGTGGGCTGAGGCCACCACTCTCAGAATGCTGTCTAAGGGCAGTGGTGGTCTATCCCAGGGAACACTGCCACACACATAGACAAGGCCACTTAATAGGCAGAAGCTTGAACTTCCAATTCCAGGCAAGACGGAAAAGGCACACTACACCCTTGCCCACTATTCACAGGTACAAATCCTGCATAAAACTCATGAAACAGCTATCATGGGACTCGAAAATGTAGATAAGGGCAGCAGGACTGAGTAGGGAGGACTTTAAAGACACCTTGGCAATGACTTGTCTGGATTTTCAGTTTTTGGAATTTTGTCTCCTAGCCTGGGCACTGGAGTAGTCTGAAACCACCAATAGGCACAGACAAGAAGGAAAAACAGGATCAAACAGAAAAGCTTGCTCTCTTTAGCGAAAGACCCAGGAAGGAGGAATCCTGTGGATTGAACTCTTTTGCCTTTATCTACCTTGCCCAAGCAGAAACAACGTGTCCATTCCTCTCCCCAGAGACACAGCAGCAGCCCCCCTGGGGTGGAGACCCATGGACTCTTTCCACTGCACATTAGCCGAGCATCACCAAATAGGTGAAGCCCCATCCCCATTCACCAGCACAGCAGCAGTGGACCCTCACGGCGGAACTCTGGCGACAGTGCAGGGTGACAGGCTAGAGCCCCAGCCTTCTAATCAGAACACCTGGAAAGGGGAACATGGGGAAGCAGAGAGTATAGGGAAGATCATGGAGAGGCGGGAGCTGGAGAAGGGATCCTTTAAATCCACATAAGAAGCCCTGAGCTCACCCCCAAACCACACATGTGTGAAAACACTTGGCATCAGCACAGCACAGATCACTGCCCAGTTTCAAACTAATCTGGGTGGTGAACAGCAGGGTGGATACTGGAACCACAGAGCAGAGAAAGTGAGCCAGGATGTGCCATCTGAATCTGAGTTGACTGCCTGTTTAAAAAAAAAAAAAAAAAAAATCAGTCGACATTTTCAGAACATTTAAATAGCGTCCAGAGTCTCCTAACATTATATTCAAGATGTCCATGACACAACCCAAAATTACTTGACAGAGAACTAAGCAACATAAACTGTCAAAGGAAAAGGTAATCAACTAACATCAATCCCAAGAGGACCCTAATGTTTGAATTATCAGAATAAGACCTTAAAGTAGCTATTATAACCATTATCTAAGAAGAAAAGGCAAAGACTCTCAAAACAAATGAAAAGACAGAAGTTCAGCCGGGCGCGGTGGCTCACACCTGTAATCCCAGCACTTTGGTAGGCCAAGGCGGGCGGATCATGAGGTCAAGAGATCGAGACCATCCTGGCCAACATGCTGAAACCCTGTCTCTACTAAAATACAAAAATTAGCTGGGCATGGTGGCACGCACCTGTAGTCCCAGCTACTTGGGAGGCTGAGGCAGGAGAATTGCTTGAACCCAGGAGGCGGAGGTTGCAGTGAGCCGAGATCATGCTACTGCATTCCAGCCTGGTGCATGGTGACAGAGCAAGACTCTGTCTCAAAAAAAAAAAAAAAAAAAAAAAAAAAGAAAAGACAGAAGTTCTCAGCCAATAAAATAGAAGCTATAAAAAAGAACTAAAGAGAAATTTTAGAATCAAAAAATAAAAAATTACCCGGAGGGGTTCAACAGCAGAATGGAGAAGACAATGGAGTCAGTGAACTTAAAGATAGATCAATAGAAATTATCCAATCTAAATAACAGAGAGAAAACAAGAATGGACAAAAATGGAATAAAACCTGAAGGATTTATGGAACAACATCAAAAGATGCCAATGTCTAATTTCATGTCACAGGAGTCCCAGAAAGAGAGGAGAGATGGAAGCAAAAAACAGTATCAGAAAATATGACAGCTGAACACTTCCCAAATTAGAGGAAGGACATAAATTTACAGACCCAAGAAATACAGTGAACCCTAAACAGGATAAAGAAAGAAAACCACAGGCAGTCACATCACAATGAAAGTACTGAAAACCAAAGTTACAGAAAAAAAATCTTGAAAGCAGTCAGAGAAAAACAACATTATTACATACAGGAGAATAAGGACTCAAGTGACTGTAGTTCCCATCAGAAACTACAGAGGCCAGAAGAGGATGAAACATCTTAAAGTCCTAAAAGAAAAGAACTGTCAACCCAGAATGTTATAGCCAATGAAAATATCCTTCAGGAATGAAGGTAAAATAAAGACCTTCTCAGATGAAGGAAAACTAAGACTTAACCCTACAAGACCTCTTTTAAACTTCTGGCCAGAACTATAAGGTAGTATGTTTTGTTGTTTGAAGTCACTAAGTTTGTGGTAATTTATTGCAGTTGCAATAGGAAACTAATACATTAATCTCTGACTAAAAATCAGTAACAGAATGACACCTGGAAAAATCTCTAAAAACTTGGAAATTAAACAACATTACTATTAATCACTACTGAATGATCCACAGATGATAAGGGAAGTCTCAAGGAAAATTAGAGAATGGTTTGGAATAACTGAAAATAAAAATGCAATATATAAACATCTGTAGGATGCAGCTAAAGCAGTACTTGGAGGCAAATTTACAGCATCAAATGCTTACATCAGAAAAGAAGAAAGGTCTCTAATTTTTTTTTTTTAAGATGAACAAAATAAATCCAACAAAAAGAAATAATAGACATCTAGCAGACTAACAAACAAAAAAAGAAAGGCACAAATTACAAAAATCAGAAATGAGAGAGGGGATATAATTACTGATTCCACACATACTAAGAAGATCCTAGGGAAATACTGCAAATGACTGTGTACATAAATTTGGCAATTTAGATTAAATGGGCTAATCCCTTGAAACATGCTGGTGACCACTCACCCTGACCCCCATTTCCCTAATCATTCATGGTGCTGCTAACTAAAGCCCACAGGAAAAAGAGCCCTGGGGCTGACATTAACCTGAGGCAGACAGAACCACAACCCAACAGGCACAAGGACCTCACAACATGGCCCCTAAGAAGTTCTAGAAGACTTCTTAGGTTTGAGAACCACCTCGGAAACCAAATCTCCAATAACTCAGGGCCTTAGAAGTTCTAAAAGGGTGCAGCACTGGCAGCACTACTGTGATCTGAACCAGTAAAGGGTCTGAAGTGATAGGAAAGTGAATGCTGAAATTGGAAAGGTCAAAAGGCCATCTCCTAGAGGCCAGCAAGGACAATACCCTGTGTCACCATGCAGCTGAAAGTAGACTTGCAAATGGTTTCTCCTTTCCAAAGCTCTTACCAGATGGGGGTCTCTCACACTTCCCTCACAGCTCATCCCAGTGTTTAACCATGCTTACAGTCAAGATGTTCTTCCTTATGTCCCGCAGGATGGCTACAATTCCAGCTAATTTCCCCATTCCCTGTGCAGAGTGCTGGACCACAGGGGATGGCTTCCTCCCTGATTGTCAACTGTGTGATTCATACAAAAGATGAGCCTCCACTGGTAACTAGGGGTTACTGGGAATTACTTAGCAGGGTTGTTTTGAGACTGATCATGACGACAAAGCATCTATTACAATGCCTGGCACACAGTAGGTACAGAAAGTGGTAGTCACCATTAACAAGTGGCACTTGTCAGCCTGCTTCTCCCTGCCATGAAAATCCACCTCCTCAAATATTTTATGAAAGACCCAATTTTCTACCCTATCAATCACTCAGCTTCAGGCAGCTCCATATTTGCATGGTTTTTGTCTTTGAAGGAATTTCTTCAAAAGCTCAAGGTGAGCTGTGTTCCTGGCAAGCAGCTTGCCTATTTAAAAGGATCCTCCCCAGACACCTCCAGATCACCACTGGCAAATGCTCAATCCTGATCTGGTCTCTGAACCAAGCAAGTCTAACTTCTATCTCCTCCAAATCCAAATTACAGGGCTTCTGGCCCCTTTCAGGTACAAGTGAGGGGACATGTTCATTCATATTGAACCTAGTTGAAAAGAGGCTATTCCGAGTCTCTCCATTTGTTCAATCCTAAGGCAGGGGTCAGCAAACTTTTCCTGCAAAGAGCCAGATAGTAAATACCTTCAGCTTTGCAAGTCACGTGGCATCTGTCTCCACTACTCAAGCTTGCCATTGTAACATGAAAGCAGCCATATGCTATACATAAGCCAATGAGCAAGCTGTGTCCCAATAAAATTTTTACAAAAACAGGCAGCAGACAGGACTAAGCTGTCATTTGCCAACCCCTGGCCTAAATGCGAGGAGAGGCCTCCACCACCATCCTTTCCTCATACATTTCCCACGGTCAACGCAGACCTAGAAATTCACCAGGCAGCGTAGGAACCTCTCTCTTCCTCTCTGCCTAGGCATTTAAAGGCTACCAAGAACCAACCAGCACAGGTAAAGCACCATAAAACAAAAGAATGTCCTTTGCTCTCTTACTGTGTGGCAGCTGATACACACCCCCACCACCACACATACACACACTCACTCTTACACACTTAATGCCAATAAATATAAAAGAATTACTTTAGGCCCCGTGGGAAGGGTACTTCTGACGGGAAAGCTCGCAACAGCCGAGGCCGAAAATGTCAGCCAGGATCCTGATTCATACATAATGGAGATTCTGCTGGAAAACAGCATAGGACTTTTGAAGGAAATGAATCATTTATGGAGTGCAAGAAGGTTTGCACCGTTTCTAAGGCAACACCCCACCCCACCCTGCCCCACCCTGCCAAGGGACCCAGGCTCCAGCAGGTCCCAAAGAAAGGGCACCGGCTGTGGGCACAGGAGAGTGCCAAGCCCAGCAGTTTTGTGTAGCTTTTCACTTGCCTACTTTTAAAAGGATTCGAAGCAGCCTTAAGAAATCAAACGGTGTGAAAATAAGGCCACTGGGAAGAAAACAAAAATAAAGGCTCAAAGTGTGTTTCAGGCCCTGGGATGCACTGACCGTGTGAAACGAACAGTGAATTTGGCCCCCAGGCTGCCTGACAGCAAAGGCCAGAAAAGGGAGGAGTCTTGGATGACTGCCTTCCAATGACAGAAGAGCTGGGGTGCAGGAGAAGCACCCAGAATTCCTTACCGTGGACTCCTCAGCTCTGTGATTCTACCCCACCACACTATCTGCTGAAGCACACTGCAAATAAACCACACTGTCAGTGGGATATAAACTAGAGGTAAAGGGTGAGAAACAAGCCCTAGGCCATCCCAGCCACCTCCAGATCCACAGGGATTTCCCCCATACCCATGTCCTGAATAGCTGCCAATGCAGATGGAAGAAGACTGAGCTCGGGCCACTTCCTCCAGGTCCCTGGGCAAGAGCCAGGAGGATGGTCCTGCAGTCCAGTCTCCAGCCAGCAGTCTTGGCTTCGTCAAAGCCCACGCCCTCCACCTGTCCTGGACGGCTGATAGGCCAGGTCTGAGAAGCAGGGTGGGGTCCACCCAGCGAATGAGCCCAGATAGGGGCTGAGAGGAAATCTCAAAATAATCACAATGCATGCTACTCTTGGTTCAGATGATGTCTCTGGTCCATGGCCCTTAGGGTCAGGTGTCCTCTGTATTTAAATGGAAGAACCAAGACACAGGGGAAAAAAAAAGCACCACAGACCAGTCAATTCAGGTTCTCCTACCTCAAACACTAGACTGTTCCTTTCATTGAACAGAAAATATGGAGTCTCAGAGCGGGGGCTCATCTTACCCTGCTCTAGGCAGGTCTGGCACCCTGCCTAGGCACCCCTCCCTACAGCATCCCAGTCAGCTGCCCCAAATGCCAGATCTCCCTGGCCATCCCTGAGCCAGCAGCCAAGAGGACCAGAGACATCTACAAGAATACTTGCTCCAGTCCCGAGAAGTGCGAGGCCTGCTGGGGGCCACTCTGTTCTTTTGGCCAGGCAGCAGGGAAAAGAAGTCTTACTCTGTCGCCCAGGCTGGAGTGTAGTGGTGCTATCTCACCTCACTGCAACCTCTGCCTTCTGGGTTCAAGTGATTCTCCTGCCTCGGCCTCCCAAGTAGCTGGGATCATAGGCGTGTGCTACCACGCCCAGCTGATTTTTGTATTCTTGGTAGAGACGGGGTTTCACCATGTAGGTCAGGGTGGTATGGAACTCCTGACCTCAAGTGGTCTGCCCATCTTGGCCTCCCAAAGTGTTGTGATTGCAGGCGTGAGCTATCGTGCCTGGCCTCTGAGCAGGTTTTGGAGGGAGTCTTTGCTTTGAGGAGGCCCGGGTCCCTGGGCAGACTGGTGACATCACAACGAGTGGGCAAGTGGGGAATGGGCTCTTCCTTCAAGACATTTGCCAGCTCCTGCCCCCCGGAGAGAATGTGGCTCACCTCACTTTGAGGTGGCTCAGAGCAAGAGGGCAGTCTGACTCACCCGGAGGCACAAGTCAGAGTTGAGCTTTAGATGAAATGCCATCCACCCAAGGCCCTGCCCAGCACTGCCAGTGAGAAAGCAGCCGTCACCGCCACCCAGGCCTCAGTCCTCCCCTACAGTCCATGAAGAGCTCTAAGAATCGTTAACCAAGTAAAGGTATAAATGCCAGTGCAAAAAACCAATTCAGGCAGCCACCTGGGACAGAAGAGCCCTGGAGACCAGGGAGGTGGCCCAGGACAACAGCAGAGGCTATTGTGTAGTGGCCACAGTCAAGAGATCTGCGCGCATGCCTGTCTTCCTGTTGTGGAGTTGGTCCCTGCCTCTGCCGTTTCAGCACCAGCTTCCTTTAGACCATGTGGAAAAGAGAGATAAATTGTCCCTCCAAACCGGCGGCTGAGATAAGGGCACTCCTGTCTATCCCTGGGTGTCCCACATGGGGTCCCAGGCATCAGGGCCTGTGCCCTTGAGAAAGGCAGGAAGAGGTGGCTCCGCATGGGGAGGCGGGGCCTTGGTCACAAATCATTTAGTGGGGAAAGGATGGAAAAGGTCAGCAAACTTCTCCCATTACAGGGAGGACAGGGATCAGGCCCCCCACTGCCAAAGTTAGGAGGAGAGGTGAGGTGAAAACCACGTGGCAATCAGGGTCTAGAAACAAAACCTGAACTCTCGCTGTGCACTGGGAGGGTGGGAGACTTGCCTGGACCCTCGACAACTGGAGTGGAGGAAGTTGCAGACCCCACAGAGCCAGGCTCTCCTGGCCTCTGCTGCCTTCCCAAGCCCTCCTCCCCTAAGTAACCCCCACCGGCAGCCTAGAGCCTGAATAGGGGGGCTCATACTAGGAGAAAAGGGGAGCCAGAATAGGGGGGCTGATACTAGGAGAAAAGGGGAGAAGGGAGCGACTGTGCGCACAGGGCTTTGGATATGCTCACATTTCATGTTCGGAGAGGCACTGTAGGAGGGAGAGTCAGTATCCACATCTACGAGATGCTAAGAAATGTGTCCAAAGCCCAAAGCCCAGCCTCAAGGCCCCTGCTCCTGTGCCCCAGTGGGTCACACACACACATACGTGGACACTTGGAGATCTGCATGTACACACACGAGTGTGCACATACAAACACACATGCTCACACCCACACCCCAATTCCCTTGGTGGAGTTCTTGTCACACTGCTAGGTGGTCACCCTCCACCGACTCCAGGGTGCCACCCCTTGTGCTACAGACTGAATGTTGTACTCCCCCCAACAAAATTCTTTTGTTGAAGCCTAATCCCCAATGTGATAATACTAAGAGGTGGGGCTGTTGGGAGGTGATGAGGTTGAAAGAGTGGAACTTTCGGCCAGGTGTGGTGGCTCATGCCTACAATCCCAGCACTTTGGGAGGCCGAGGCGGGTAGATCACAAGGTCAAGAGATTGAGACCATCCTGGTCAATGAGGTATAACCCTGTCTCTACTAAAAATACAAAAATTAGCTGGGCATGGTGGTGCACACCTGTAGTGCCAGCTACTCGGGAGGCTGAGGCAGGAGAATTGCTTGAACCCAGAAGGCAGAGGTTTTGGTGAGCTGAGATCGCACCATTGCACTCCAGCCCGGGTAACAACAGCGAAACTCCGTCTCAAAAAAAAAAAAAAAAAAGAGTGGAACCTTCATGAATAAACTTAATGCCCTTATAATAAGAGGCCCAGGAGAGCTTAGATGCCATCTATGAAGCAGGGAGCCCTTACCTAACATGGAATCTGTAGTTGCTTTGATCTCAATCCCCGAATCCAGAACTGAGGGCAATAATCTCTTGTTTATAAACTGCCCAGCCTGGCATTTTGTTATAGCAGCATGAACAGACTAAGATACCTTGTTATTCTCTATCAGAAGCAGGAGAGATGCTGCATAGAGACCAGGACAGGAATTCCACCCATGTAACCACCTCAAGGTTCCAATGGCATGAGGGAGGAAGGCTTGGGCTCAATCTTGAACTCATCTTCACAGGCCCAGACAACGTGGCTTCGGCCTGTCTGGTCATTCATAAGTATGATGCTGGTCACGGCCTCCAAACCCATAGGCCTCCTGTCACGTTCCCCTCTCCCAGGCCATGTCTCCTTCTACCTTTCGCCCTCTGCCAAATCGCACCCTCCCTTAGCCTTCTCTGCAAAATCTACACCCCTCTGCCTCCTTCCCCCAGAACAATTTCCCCTCTTGTGAACTTTCTCAGCACTTAGCTCTTATGCAATTTATCTGACAATCACATCAACCTTTTTCACCAATACACTGTGAACTAATACTTTACTTCTCATTTTAATCTTCATATGCTTGTGTTCCACCTTCCCACTTAGCCTGGAAACTTGGCTGGAATCAGATGGTTTTCTGTGCCTTACTGTGCCTAGTAAGGGGCCCAAGATGCGCCAGCCAGGTGTGTCACCTGCCCACTCTGCAAGCATTAACTGAGCACCTACTATGTGCCTGGCATTGTTCTAGGCAGTGGGGATGTAGAAGTGAACAAGGCACACAGTAACTGCAGGGAACCTGCTCCACAGGGAGACCAGAGGAGTGACAGGTGAGAAGACAGGGAAGGACTATCACTTCGCTATCTTTTTTTTTTTTTTCTTTTTTTGAGACAGAGTCTCACTGTGTCACCCAGGCTGGAAGGCTGGAGTGCAATGGCATGCTCTCAGCTCACTGCAACCTCCACCTCCTGGGTTCAAGAGATTCTCCTGCTTCAGCCTCCTGAGCAGCTGGGATTACAGGCACCTGCCACCACTCCCAGCTAAATTTTGTATCTTTAGGAGAGATGGGGTTTTACCATGTTGGCCAGGCTGGGGTTGAACCCCTGACCTCAAGTGATCCATCCGCTTCAGCATCCCCAAAGTGCTAGGATTATAGGCGTGAGCCACCAGGCCTGGCCGGCTGTCACTTCTCATAACAAAGACAACCCTACCCTCCTATAAGCTGCTCCATGAAGAAACGTGGAAATACACAGGAACTCTAGTGAGCCTGGCTGGGAAAACAAAAATTACTCTTGCCACTGACTGAGGATCTTTCCTAAGTCCTAAGAAATAAGAACCCTACCCCCCACTAGACACAATCAGAGCCAGCGGCCTTCCCTAAGAAGCACTGAGCAGTGTGGGCACCCTCATATGGCCCCTGCATTCAGCAGGGAGGCACAGGAATGGGGCTCCCTACTCCCCTTCCTGTGAGATCCCATGGAACCCCTTGGCCCTTTGCTCCAAACCCATCATCCTGGACCTCTCCTGTGAAGATATCTCCCACCTCTGGTCCTAAGGGAGGCTCATGGGGCGACAGGAAAACCATCATTTATACCACTGATGAAGGGGAAC